TCAAGAAGCTAGTATGATAGTGGATTTGAATTTCCCTTGCTTCATCTAAGATGTTTGACTTTGGTAACAAAGGATGAGCTTGAGTTTATGGGTGGTGGTTGCCCTTCAACTACACTCACCTTATCGTATCCAATTTAAATTGACTGATTTGAATGAAACTAATCAAATTCCATTAAAATTCAATTCAAATTGATATTAATTTGAATTAATTTAGATTAATTTAGATTATAAAATTTTAAACTCATTATAATTAGTTTAGTTTGTAATTTTACTTTTAAACTAATTGAACCGCTTGATTATAAAATAACTTAACTAAATAATATAATATTTAACTTTTTATTTTTTGGTAAATATATTTTTTGAATTGTTTGGTAAAATAAAAATATGATTAATGAATTACATAAAAATTGTATTTGGAATTTTTCTTTTTACGGTGTACATTTCTTATATTTATAGTATAATATTTTTGAAAAATAATTAGTATACCTTCGGTTCATCACACTTGCCAACATCCATTAGTTTGGTTATTAAAATCTTAAGTTTTAAGTTTTCTTGTATATAATTCATATTTAACAATAATAATTTTTTAATAAATATATTGTAAATTATGTTGAACCAAAAGACATCTGTATCAATATCTAATATTTTTATAATTGTTCTACTATAATAATAATTTTATTAGCTATCATTTTCTTATTTTGTTCTATATAATTGTATAATATAAGCTAATTAGGTTAATTTTAAAAAAGTGCAATTATAAATAGTCTCTTATACAAACAAGAGCTTTGCTCTCTTATTGAGTGGCAATAACTTAGGTTTACATGTCTTGGTTGTCTTATTAGTACTATAATATTAATTATATGAGCTATCATTTTGCATTTTATGATGTTAATGTATTTTATAATTGTATTTTCTATAATTTGATGTTTAGATTTTTTATTTGATTAATCAAATATATTTAAAATAAATTTTACTATATAGTGTTAAAAACTTAGCAATCTAACAAAACACATTAATCCAATTTTAGTTGAATTGATTTGGTTATAATATAATAGTAAATTTGATTGATTTAAAATTTTATTAATTAATTGAGTTAATTTTATTTTAAAAATATTAAAATTTTGAACATCCCTAACAGGTCCCATGAAGTTGATAGGTAAGGTTGATCAAGGGCTGGGATCCCCCTTGACATCAACCATCTATATTAGATCTCAACTATCATTTTCTAGTTTTATTTTGTGGTTTTCGTAAAACTTAAATAAAAAATTGCAGAAATAACAGTTATATTAGTGAAGGACTGTTTATTTTGGAGGAAGTCTACTGGCTTCAAGTGCTTAATTCATGGTCTTCATGTCTTGTAAGGGGTCCAATTTCTGGTAAGAGGAAAAATAATAGATGCTTTGCTGCGGTGGCATGTTGTTCTCCCATCCCAATTTCTTAGATTGGACTTATAGCATGTTTAGGTTTTAGGTTGAGGGAAACAACTAAGAAAGAAAAAATGGATTTTCTATTTGGTTATAAAAAAAATAAGGAGAGGAAAGAGAAAATTTTTCTTTTACTTTATTATTATTATTATTTTGATTTAGCTACCTATTCAAATGAGTGGAAGGAAAGGAAATAGAATAATATAATTCTCTTCTCCTTCCTTCTCTTCCCTTTTATTTTCCTCAATCTAAACATAGGATTAGGTAAAATTAGATGATAGTTTATTAGAAGTGGTCGGATATACTCAATGGAGTCCCTCCTTCGTCACTTGAATCACATGTCTCCCCTGTTCTCCTTTATCAGCTCTTTTTGAGTCTTTCTTTCCTTGTCACCGTGGTGATTCAGGAGAAATGTTTCCTGCTTATTTGCGTTTCATGTTTTCTTTTGGGGTTTTAACTAACACTCTATAGCAAATTCTAAGAAAAAAAAGTTGTGTGAAAAATGTGACATATAAAAATTGCTTTTAAATTATTTTACTACAAATAAATTTAACATATGTATTTGTTAATAAAAATAAAAATAAAATAATAATATTTAATATCATTTTATATAATAAAAAGTGAGACAACTTATATATAATTAAAAGTACGTTTGGTATAACAGTTAAAATCTAGTTGATAACATGTATTAGATAACGAATAGTGGTAGTAAATTGTGAATGAGGATTAGCTAGTAATAGATCATAGATAACAAATTTTAATTAATATAATCGTTTGATTGTATAATAATTAGTAGTTATTGTTTGACATTAAATTATTAATAAAAATATGTTTAAAAATAATTAATTATATTTTAAAATTTTTTATTATTAAAATTATTAATTTTATCTAAATAATATTAATAAATATTATAATATAATATAAAAGTGTAAATCACACATTTATTTCTATTTCTAACAAAAAAAATTATATTATTTTAAATAATTAAAAAGCAATCTTTTTCTAGTTAGCAAATTTTTTTATTAAGTTAATACAAATTTTTTAATAATAAGTTAATGTAAAAAATAAAAATATAATAATCACTTAATGTGATTAGAGAAAAAATGAGTTTAAAACCAATTACTAATTAGAGAGTGTAGTAAAAAATTAAAAATTAAAAATAAATAAAGTTATAAATGAAATTAAGAAAATTACAATTCGTTAGCAATTTAAACTTTAAATGTTTTCTATTACTTTTAACCTACTAAATAAAAACTTTTTACTAAATTTATTGTAATTTTAAAATAAATAAATTTATTAACTATTTATTTTATAATGATTTAGATAAAATCACTTATCATTATTTTCGAACAACATGCCAAAATCAAACATTTTACTAAATTTATTGTAATTTTAAAATAAATAAATTTACTAAATATTTATTTTATAATGATTTAGATAAAATCACTTATCATTATTTTCGAACAACATGCCAAAATCAAACAGTGGGATTCGGCCAGTAAAATCAAACAGGGGCCGAATATTGAATTTCCCCTGATCTCCTCGCATCCAATTTGGATTTTGCCATACCATTTTTACATCATTTGCCTTGCCCAATCCAAACAAACTTCTAAAAAACGTGGGCAAAGCTGGTCCTCGTCGGTGGGGGTTGGTTACTGGTATACCGCCAGTAAGCCCTATAGCAAACATATTAGTGAATTTCTTACTCGATGACTTCGATCGAGAGTTTTTGCGCTCTTTTCCTAATGTTTCCTACTCGAGATGTTTTCTAAAAATTTAGGTTAAATCTTCATTTTGGTCCCTCAACTATTGTACGGACCCTGATTTGGTCCCTGAACTAAAGAAATCCCTGATTTAGTCCTTAAACTATTGTACAGACCCTGATTTGGTCCCCACTATTTATAATTTGGCCTAACTTGGTCCTTGAACTATTGTACAGACCCCCACTTTGGTCCTTATTGTTTACAATTTCGCCATAATTTGGTCCCTGAGCTATTATTTAACAAAATGACCAAGTTGAGGTTAAATTGGTAAACAGTAGGGATTAGATTGGGTACCCGTACAATAATTTAGGGACTAACTTGGGAGTCCATACAATAGTTTAGGGATTAACTCAGGGTCCGTACAATAGTTCAAGGATCAAATTAGGGATTTTTTTAGTTCAGGGACCAAATCAAGAGTCCGTACAATAGTTCAAGGATCAAATTAGGGATTTTTTTAGTTCAGGGACCAAATCAAGAGTCCGTACAATAGTTCAAGGACCAAAATAGGGGTTTAACCAAGAATTTATAAACCTGGTCATTTCTTTTCATATTCCTGTGGGGGTTGTTTGGCTAGGAAACTTTTTTTTTTTTTTAACTTTTTAAATTTTATTAATACAAAATTATTCACGATATTTTTATATATTAATATATAATAAAAAATAAAAAATAATACTTTTTATTGTAATTTTATATTAATTTATAAATTTTTCTTTTCATATTCTTTTAAAAAGGTTTCTCTTAAGTTTCCTATAGGGAAACCTTTTAACAACTTTATTATTAACTTTCTCTACACATATTTTTTATCAAATATAAAAAAATTTAGTAATTTAATAAAATTCTAACTAAATTGCACTAAAAAAGCCTAAGCCGAACTCTATATTTTCTCTCTACACATTATTTTTTTTCACGGTCAATACTTTCAAGAATTTATACTTTCAATCAACATTTTTTATAATTTAAAATTTATTTAAAAAACTCAAAAATTAAATGTAAAACTTTTTATTTACACTTTAATTTTATTTATAATTTAAAATTTTTTTAAATTTTAAATTAT